AGTGCGACACACACACACTGTAACAGACACAACGCAACACCCGTCCACCATGCAACAGTGCAATGCAACACCCGCTCCCGACACAACACAACACACAGCGCTACGCGCACACACAACACAACACTGGACCACACACAGAGCACCACTCGGTCCCGACACAACGTGACACACAGCCACGGTGCAACCGCACAACACAGCCAGGGCTACACACACACACACGCGCGCACGCACACCCCAACTTACAGCCCAATGTGCTACCGACGCAACGCAACACCCACCCCCACGGCAACACCGCAACACAACACAACACCCACCCCCAGCGTTACACACACACGGCAACACACCACACGACATACGACCGACACAACGCGACAGTGCAACACCCAAACAGGCTGCAACACCCGGGCAACAGGCAATAACCCAACACACAAACACACCCAACGCCCCCCTCCCCCCAGCTGCAGGGCCTGCGCCTGCAGACACTGCCTCTGGGATATTTATAGACGGCGACAGGACTGGTGCCCCCCGCCCCCCCCGGCACAGACACACGCCAACACACGCCCCGACACGCCAACACATGCCCCGACACGCCAACACACGGCCCGACACGCCTCTCACGGGCCCTCGTGCCAAACCCCTTCTCCCCCCATGGCCCCGACCGGGGAAACCACGTCAACGTCGGGGGGGGGGAAGGGGTCCCAGCTACCCCCAACACATGTGTGTTGGCGTGTGCGGTCACGTGCCCGCCACGCACCAGCTGGGCTCGCACAGAGCAGCCCGGCCCAGGTGGCACCCACAGCGTCCGGGCCGGGCACACATGCCAGGGCCCCGCTGGGCCAGACCCTGCAGCCCCGTCATGCACCCAGCTGTGGGGGTGTCAGGCGGTTTGTGCCCCACAGACTGGGGATGGAGCTGTGGGGGTGGGGAGGGGGCAGCTCTGACCCACCAGAGTGAAGAGAAAATCTGGGGGGCTCTCCCTGCCCCCCAGGAAGACAATGCAGTTGGGGGAAGGGACAGAAGAGCTGTCCAGCCCCCCTGAAGCATGCCCCCCCACCTGCAGGTTCAGCTGGGATCCCCCCCCCCCCGAGCCCCACAGTCCAGCTGCCCTGCCCCCTCACCCATGGATTTTGGGGGTGGACTCCTGGAAGGGGACAGAGGGGTTCCCCCAAGAACATGGGGAGATCCAGTCCCCCCCATCCATGGGGGGGGAGACGCAGGGCCCCCAGGCGTGGTGGGGGTGGTGGACTGAGGACAGAGGCTGGGAGTCAGAGAACAGGGGGGAATGAAGCAGAGAGGGGGGCAGGGGTGTTGGCAGGGGGATGGAGAAGGTGGGGGGGACGGTATGACAGGGAAGGAGTGGGTGGCTGAGGGGGGCAGCTGGGCAGGGGTTGGCAGGCACAGGTGAGGGGACACAGGGATGGGGGCTGTGCTGGGGGCTCGCCCATCCAGTACCTGGGGTGGGGGCTCGGGAGGCCGGGACAGGAAGATGTGGGGCGGGGGCAGGGTTGCAGCTCACACCTGCGGCTGGGTGCGGACAGGGGGAGGAAGGGGGGCGCAGGCAGAGGGAGGGTCAGGCTAGGGGGCAGGGTGCACCAGGTGCTGGGGGGAACTGGCAGGGGCTGGGGGAGCCAGGCACCGCATGCATGGGTGTGGGGTAGTGCTGGGGAACGAGGGACCAGGCGGGCGGGGTGCATGCAGGGGTGTGGGGAGGGGGACGCATGCAGGGGCTGGGGAGCAGAGGGGCCGGGGGAGCAGGGGCGTGCACGCAGGGATGGCGCACACAGGAGCCGGGGAGCAGGGGGCCAGGCAGGGGCCTGGGTTGGCAGGGGCCAGGCAGGGGGGTGCACGCAGGGCCTGGAGGAGTGGGGGGAGCCAGGCAGGGGGGCGCACGCAGGGGCCGGGGTGCAGGGGGCCAGGCAGGGGCTGGGTGTGGGGGGGTTCGCAGGGGTCAGGTAGAGGGGCGCACACAGAGGCCGGGGGAGCAGGGGGGCAGGCAGGGGGGCACACAAAGTGACGATTCGGGGGGGGCATGCAGGGTGTGGAGGAGTGGGGGGGGGCAGGCAGGTGGGCAGACACGGGGGCCAGGGGAGTGGGAGGGGGGCACAAACAAGGGGCTGGGGGAGCCAGGGGCCAGGCAGGGGCTGGAAAAGTGTGGGGGCGCACACGTGGGCCAGGCAGGGGGGCGCGTGCAGGGCCTGGAGGAGCGGGGGGGGGCAGACGAGGGGGGCACACACAGGGGCCAGACGAGCGGTCGCACACAGGGGCTGGGAGAGCGGCAGGGGGAGTGGACACAGGGGCTGGGGGAGTGGGAGGGGGCAGACACAGGGGCTGGGGGGGGGGCACTGGGGGCTGCCTGGCTCCTACCTGCAGTGGCTGCCGGTCGGATGCTGCGGAGGCCGGAGCAGGAGGATGGGGGGGGCCCTGGACCAGCTCCTACCTGCGGCAGGGAGAGGGGTGCGTGCGGGGGGGGGGGGGGAGGATGCAGGTGGAAGGGGAGGGCATGTGCAAGCTAGGGGGGCAGGCAGGGGAGACGGGCTGGGGGATGCAGGGGGGATGGGTGCAGATGCGGGGGGATTGGGGAGGGGGGATGGGTGGAGATGCAGGGCGGAGGGCATGAAGGGGCAGGAGTGCATGGCTAGGGGGGCAGGGGGATGGGCTGGGGGGCCAGGGCAGGGGGGATGGGTGGAGATGCAGGGCAGGGGGGATGAAGGGGCCGGGGTGTATGGCTAGGGGGCTGCAGGGGGAGGGGGATGGGCTGGGGGTGTCCGGGCGGGGGGGATGGGTGGGGGTGCATGGCTGGGGGGTGCCTGGGGGGGGGGATGGGTGGAGTGCAGGGGGGGGGGGGTGAGGGAGGGGGGATGGGTGGGGGTGCCTGGGGAGGGAGGATGGGTGGAGATGCAGGGCGGGGGGTGCAGGGCAGGGGGGATGGGTGGGGGTGCATGGCTGGGGGGTGCCTGGGGAGGGGGGATGGGTGGAGATGCAGGGCGGGGGGGTGCAGGGCAGGGGGGATGGGTGGGGGTGCATGGCTAGGGGGGTGCCTGGGGCGGGGGGGTGCAGGGCAGGGGGGATGGGTGGGGGTGCATGGCTGGGGGGGTGCAGCGGGAGGGGGGATGGGTGCATAGATGGGGGGGCGCCGGTACCTGCGGCGGCCGGTGCCGATGCTGCGGAGCCGGAGCCGGCGGACGCCCGGGGGTCGCGCCCCTCCCCCGCCCCGCGCTGCCGGAGCCCCGCCGGACGCGGCTCCCGGCCCCTCCGCGCCGCCCCCCACCCCGCCCCACCGGCGCCGGCCCCTTTAAGGGAGCCCTGAGTGACGCGCCGCCCGGCCAACGGGAGCCCGGCAGAGTCCGGGGCTGCCGCGAGGCCCCGCCCAGTCGCGGGGGTGGGGGGGGCGGCTCCGAGCGGCCGGGCCCGGCGGCCAATGGCGGAGGGGCTGCCGGGCGGGGGAGCCAATGAGGAAGGGCGGGGGCGGGGCTCGCTTTCGGGATGATGTCATCCGGTGTGCGGCGGGCGCGAGAAGCCTGGCCGTGGGGGGGGGGGGGATGCTCCAACCCCCCGAGAAATGCACCAACGCCGCACGATCTGCACCAACCCCCCGAGAAATGCACCAACCCCGTACCCCAGAAAAATGCACCAGCCCCCTGAGAAATGCACCATCCTGCAGGGAAATGCACCAACCCCTGAACTCCCGAGAAATGCACCAAGCCCAGGGAAATGCATCCGCTGCCGGGGAAATGCACCAACCCTGCGCCCCCAAGAAATGCACAAAAGCCGGGAGAAATCCATCAACCGCCAGAGAAAAGCACCAACCCTCAACCCCTGGGGAAATGCACCAACCCCAGAGAAATGCACCAACCCCCAGGGAAAGGCCCCTATTCCGCACCCCCCGGGAAATGCACCAACCCCCAGGGAAAGGCACCAAACCGTGTACCCCTAAAACATGCCCCAACCCCCGGGGAAAGGCACCATCCTGGCAGCCCAGAGAAATGCGCCATCTGATGCCACGCAGAGAAATGCATTTGCCTGCCTCACCCGAACGTGCTCATGTCTCCACGTTGCATGAACTGCTGCAAACCACCATGAGACATGCAGCAGTGCATGCAACCTGGTGACACGTCCCAGCCCACAGCAATGCCAGAAGCCGCAGAGACACCCCAGAGAACAAGCCGGCAGGGCAGCAAACTGCCCCGCCCCAGAAAGACGCGACAACCGTCGGCAACGTGGAGCAGCGGGTTCACCCAGGCGCCGTCGCGTCACGGTTCACCGGGGCGGCAGAGCCCCGGGGAGAAAATGCAGCAATCCATGCAACGCTCCAACGTGCAACTCGGCCCGCTGGGAAGGCCATGCATTGCCCGAGGAGCTTGCAACCAACCGCACCTGCACCATGCGGTCCCATCGCGCCACCCTGAAATCTGCAACGGGCCAAAACACAGCCCCCACCCCACCGGTGCGGATGCAAAGGCGGCATCTGGCCTGCGAGCTGCATCCGACGCAGCAGCCATCTATAAATGCAGGAGCAAACCTGCGTCCATCCGTGACAGCTGTTCCAGGCATCGCCAAGCCAGGCCGGGGATGCGAGGCAGGGACAAGCCACCACGGTGGTGGGAGGGCCAGGCTTGGACTCCAGATCGATCCGAGCATTGCAGGGAGGGGGAGCCCATGAATTCAGGAGCAACCCCCCTCCCCCGGCTTTCAGCCAACTCTCATGTCCCACTTCCTGCCCCCCTGAGCCAGCCGGTCCCCCAGCCCTGGGGCCAGATCAGAGCCGGCGCCCCGGAAATGTCGCCAAGTGGGGGAGCCGGCTTGTCTCCCCAGGATCAGGTCCCCGGCGGATCGGGTCGTGGGGGTCAATCCACCTCTTTTCCCGCCTCAATCTGTCCAGCATCCAGGCAGGTCTTCCGGCCCTCGCATCCTTCTCCGGCCCCTCTGCAATTTACCACCGTCCTCCTTGAGACGGGAGCCCCAGCGCCGGGGCCGAGGCACAAAGGACACAGACACGCACCTCGCAGACTCACTCGCATCGCTTTATTCACGCTCAGGAGCCCCCTTTCCCCCAGCACAATCAGGAGCCACGGCAAAGGGCACGAACGTTCCCGGCAAGGGGAGAGGAGGGACGGACAGCAGGGGCGGGGAGTGGGAGTCACCCACTAGGACCCCCCCTCCCCTCCCAGGGCTGGGGAGAGAACCCAGGAGTCCTGGCTCCCAGCCCCCACTGCTCTAACCACTCGACCCCACTCCCCTGCCAGAGCTGGGGAGAGAACCCAGGAGTCCTGGCTCCCAGCCCCACCCTCTGACTCCCTCTCTGGGAATTTCACCCCTGTCTTTCCCTGGCAGACCCAGCAGCCAAACCAGAAACACTGACTTGAGGGGGTGACTCACTCCTGGGGGAGGGACGTGTCCCCGATTCCCAAGGTCATTTCCCGCGCCCCCCTCCCCCCAGCCCATCTGGGAGGTGGGAGGGGAGGGGAGCCCAGCCCCCCCCGTCTCTGTTCCCCCTGCCTTGGAAAGGCCAGGGCCAGGCTAGCCGGGGGCTGCGGGTCGGGAGTGAGGGGCACCAACACCCAACGCACCATGAAGCCCAGTGTCATTGTCACGCCCGCCCCCCAGTCAAGCAGCAAAGTCGCCACCTGGTGGCCACTCACGGAACTGCATCCTAACAGGCTGGAACGCAGCCCCTCTGGGGTGGGGCGCGGGGGCAAAGATGCACAAGAATTTGGGACAGGAAGTGAAGGAGAATCCTGTAAGGTGGGTGGTTTGGGGGGGGGGGGGGGGAGTGAATTTCTCCAGCATTCCCCTTCCTCGCCCCTAAGCCAGGATGCCCCTCACCGCCCCCCACCAACTTGGGGGTCGTTTCGCGGAGCCTGGCCATGCGGGCGGATTCACCCCGGCTCACACACAGGGGTCAGCTTTAAATAAGGGAATAAATACGGTTCACGGCGGGGCCGGCGCGGGCCGGATAAATAGACCCAGCTACACACGAAAACTGGGCGGGAGGGGGGGAATCTTTGGGGGGCTGGGCCTGGGGGCCCCCGACCTCCCCAGCGTGGGACGAGACGGACGCTATCCCCGCGACTCCAGAGACCTGGGGAGAGAACAGAGTGGGCTTTCATCAGACCAGGGAAGCAAAGCAGATTTGGGGGGCACGGAGGGATTTTTTGGGGTGCTGCTCGTGGCACTGGGGGGTTGGGGGGCCTTACGAGTAGCTGGGGTGCTTGGGGGGATTCTGGAGGGGATGGGGGCTCTGTGGCCCTTACGAGTAACTGTGTGGCTTCCGGTGGTGGCGGGAGGTTCTGGGGGGCACAGGGTGTTTGGGGGCCACAGGGGACACGGGGGGCACAGAGGGTTTGAGGGGCATGGGGGACACTGGGGGGTACAAAGGGCGCAGGGCGCCCTTATGAGTAGCTGGGGTGCTGTTGGCACCGGCAGGGGCATTCTGGGGGGGTGTGGGGAGACATTGGGGGGCACAGGGGACACTGGGGGGCGCAGGGCATTCTGGGGGGTGTGGGGGGACACTGGGGCACAGGGGGGCCCTTACGAGTAGCTGGGGTGCTGTTGGCACCAGCAGGGGTGTTCTGGGGGGTGCGGGGAGACACTGGGGGCACAGAGGACACTGGGGGGCGCAGGGCTTTCTGGGGGGGACACTGGGGGGGCGCAGGGGACACTGGGGGGACACTGGGGGGCGCAGGGTGTTCTGGGGGCTGCAGGGAGACACGGGGGGGCGCAGGGCGTTCTGGGGGGGACACTGGGGGGGCACAGGGGACACTGGGGGGCGTGGGGAGACACTGGGGCACAGGGGACACTGGGGGGCGCAGGTTGTTCTGGGGGCTGCGGGGAGACACTGGGGGGACGCAGGGCGTTCTGGGGGGACACTGGGGCGGCGCAGGGCGTTCTGGGGGGACACTGGGGGCGGCGCAGGGCGTTCTGGGGGCGTGGGGGGATACTGGGGGGTGCAGGGCGTTCTGGGGGGGCACTGGGGGGCGCAGGGGACACTGGGGGGGGCACAGGGTGTTCTGGGGAGCGTGGGGAGACACTGGGGCACAGGGGACACTGGGGGGCGCAGGGCGTTCTGGGGGGCGTGGGGAGACACTGGGGGGGCGCAGGGCGTTCTGGGGGGCGTGGGGAGACACTGGGGGGCGCAGGGTGTTCTGGGGGGACACTGGGGGGCGCAGGGCGTTCTGGGGGCTGCGGGGAGACACTGGGGGGCGCAGGGCGTTCTGGGGGGGCGCGGGGGGGCCCTTACGAGTAGCTGGGATGCTGCTGGCGCCGGCGGGCCGTGCGCATCTTCTCGAACCGGGCCTCCATCTCCTCCAGCACCTTGGGCGTGTAGCGAACGACCAGCTTCACCGTCCCCTGCGCCGCCTTCAGCAGCTCCACGGCCTTCTCGTGCTGCTCCCCCTCCACGCTCTGCCCCCCGCACGCACACACGGGGGTCAGGGCACGGCCCCCACGCTCAGCCCCCCATCACCCCTATGTCCCCTCCCACGCCGCCCCCCCAGCCCTCCTGCACCCCCCCACTCCCCGTCCCCTCCTTGTGTCCTCCCCACGCCAGACCCCCTGCGCCCCCCCGTGTCCCCTCCCGTGCACCCCCACACTCCCCATGCTCCCCCCCATGCCAGTGCCCCCCATCAACCCTCCATGTCCCCTCCCAGTGCCCCCCCATGCTGGTCCCCCATCACCCCCCACATGTCCCCTCCCAGTCCCCTCCCCCGCCACCCCCCCACAGCCCCCCTGCTCACCACGCCGTTGACGGACAGCAGCTGGTCCCCCCGCTTGAGCCCCCCGTGCCGGTCGGCGACGCCACCGGGGATGACGCGGGAGATGTAGATGGGGGAGTTCTGCTCCTTGCCCCCCATGATGTTAAAGCCAAGCCCCTCCTCCGTCTTGGGCAGCTCCACCACCCGGGGGTGGGCGTGACCCTCGCTCGCCGCGAACGCCGCCACCGTGGCCTGGGGGCACAGACGCAGGGCGCTCGGGGGGGGCGCCCAAGGGGGGCAGTACCTAGGCCTGGCTCTCATGGAGGGGGGAGTCCCCGGGGGGGAGCGCGGTACCCAGGCCTGGCTCTCAGGGGTGGGGAGGTCCTGGGGAGGGTGGTGCCCAGGCCCAGCTCTCGTGGGTGGGGGGGCATACCCAGGCCCAGATCTCTGGGGTGGGGGCTTCCCGAGGGGGGGGCAGTACCCAGGCCCGGCTCTCGGGGGTTGGGAGGTCCTGAGGGAGGGTACCCAGGCCCGGCTCTCGTGGGCGGGGGGTACCCAGGCGGGGCCGTACCTAGGCCCTGATCTCAGGGGGTAGGGGGTCCGGGGGGGGGGGCGGTACCCAGGCCCGGCTCTCGGGGGTTGGGGGGGCCCCCGGGGGGGCCGTACCTTGGCCGTGGCGTGGGCCCGGATCTCGGCGCTGCCCGCGATCTCCAGCGTGTCATAGAGCTGCTCATAGACCTGGGGGAGGAGACCGGGGGAGAAGGCGAGGTCTCGGGGAGAACCCAGGAGTCCGGGCGATTGCCGGGTTGGGGGAGATGGGGGCGGGGGCAAAGGGGGTGCAGCCAGGGCACTGGGCTCTCAGGTGATTCAGGGCTTGGGGGGTCCCAGCAGGAGACAAGGCCCCTGCAGGAACATGGAGGGTCATTGTCAGGGATCCCCAGGGGGTCGGGGTGGGCGTGGTGGGGGGGTGCAACCCCCTGGGGGGTGACCGGAGCTGGGGCTCGGGTGGGTCTTGTCTCCCAGAGGGACAAGGAGGGTCATGAACTGCAGGACCCTCTTAGAGGGGGAGGGGGCCTGGGGGTGCGGAGCAGGGGGGGTCCCAGAGGCGTTTGAGGTGGCCTGGAGGGTCGTGAGGGTCTGGGGGTGCAGAGAATGAACAAGGGGTGCAAGCAGTACGGGGGTTTCGGGTGCAGGGGCGGACGTGGGGGCCCGGGGGCGGACGTGGGGGCCCGGGGGCGGACGGGGGGTGCGGGGGTGGGGGGGGAGGTGGGGGTCCGGGGGCGGACGGGGGGTGCAGGGCGGAGGTGGGGGTCGGGGGCGGAGGGGGGTCGGGGGGGACGGGGGGTGCGGGGGCCCGGGGGCGGACGGGGGGGCCCGGGGGGGTCTCACCTCGCGGATGGCCGAACAGAACTTGCTCTGCAGAACCCGCTGCAAAGCCTGCAACTTATGGGGGGGCAGCTCCCCACTTCGCTGCAACCGCTCCAGCAGCTCCACGGCGCGCGCCACGTCTGCCACGGGGGGGGCACAAAGGGGGCAGGGAGAACCCCCCAACACTCACTGCCTGCTGCTGCCCCACATCGAACACCTGCCCTGACCCCCCCAATCACCCCCCACCTTCCCTGACCCCCCCAATCACCCCCATCACACTCCTGCCCTGACCCCCATCACCCCCCACCTGCCCTGACCCCCCATCACCCCCCACAGCTAACTCCTAGCCTGACCCCCCATCACCCCCCACCTGCCCTGACCCCCAATCCCCATCCCACCCGCCCCCCCCATCACCCCCCACCCCCTACCCCCATCACCCCCACACTAACTCCTCCCACCCCCATCACCCCCACCCCCTACCCCCCAATCACCCCCACACTAACTCCTCCCACCCCCATCACCCCCCACCCCCTACCCCCATCACCCCCACACTAACTCCTCCCTACCCCCCATCACCCCCCACCTGCCCTACCCCCCCAATCACCCCCACCTGCCCTACCCCCAATCACCCCATCACACCCTGCCCTGACCCCCATCACCCCCCACCTGCCCTGACCCCCCGCATCACCCCATCCCACTCCTGCCCTGCCCCCCATCACCCCCCACCTGCCCTGACCCCCCATCACCCCCCACAGCTAACTCCTGCCCTGACCCCCATCACCCCCCACCTGCCCTGACCCCCCCAATCACCCCCCACAGCTAACTCCTGCCCTGACCCCCATCACCCCCCACCTGCCCTGACCCCCCATCACCCCCCCACAGCTAACTCCTGCCCTGACCCCCCATCACCCCCCACCTGCCCTGACCCCCCCAATCACCCCCCACAGCTAACTCCTGCCCTGACCCCCATCACCCCCCACCTGCCCTGACCCCCCCAATCACCCCCACAGCTAACTCCTGCCCTGACCCCCCCAATCACCCCCCCACAGCTAACTCCTGCCCTAACCCCCATCACCCCCCACCTGCCCTGACCTCCCATCGCCCCATCACACTCATGCCCTGCCCCCCATCACCCCCCATCTGCCCTGACCCCCCCCGAATCACCCCCACAGCTAACTCCTGCCCTGACCCCCATCACCCCCCACCTGCCCTGACCTCCCATCGCCCCCATCCCACTCCTGCCCTGCCCCCCAGCCACACCTGCTCTGCCCCCCAGCCACACCTGCTCTGCCCCCCACATCACCCCCCCACAGCTAACTCCTCCCCTGACCCCCCATCACCCCCCACCTGCCCTGACCTCCCATCGCCCCCCATCACACTCCTGCTCTGCCCCCCACATCACCCCCCACAGCTAACTTCTGCCCTGACCCCCCCATCACCCCCCCACCTGCCCTGACCTCCCATCGCCCCCATCACACTCCTGCCCTGCCCCCCAGCCACACCTGCTCTGCCCCCCACATCACCCCCCACAGCTAACTTCTACCCTGACCCCCCCATCACCCCCCACCTGCCCTGACCTCCCATCGCCCCCATCACACTCCTGCCCTGCCCCCCAGCCACACCTGCTCTGCCCCCCACAGCTAACTCCTCCCCTGACCCCCATCACCCCCCACCTGCCCTGACCTCCCAAACCCCCCCCCATCACACTCCTGCCCTGACCCCCCACCACCCCCCACAGCTAACACCTGCCCTGACCCCAGCTACCACCTGATCCCCCCATATCACCCCCCCAGCGAACTCTTGCCCTGACCCCCAGCCACCACCTGCCCTGACCCCCCCATCACCCCCCCAGCTAACTGTTGCCCTGACCCCCAGCCACCATGTGCTCTGCCCCCCCATTGCCCCCCACAGCTAACTCCTGCCCTGCCCCATATCACCCCCCCACAGCTAACTCCTGCCTTGACCCCCATATCACCCCACACCCCAGATGCATCAGCCACCACCTGCCCCCCACCCGGCCCCGCTGCACCCGCCACCTGCCCCACTGCAGCCCCACCTGTCCCGGCCCCCTTGCACCTGCCCCCTTACCCCGCTCCAGCCCCACCTGTCCCGGCCCCCTTGCACCTGCCCCCTTACCCCGCTCCAGCCCCAGCGGCTCGCTGCTCAGCGCTGCCATCTTCACGCACCGGCCCCGCCCCACGTTGCGGGGGGGGCGATGGGGGGCCTGGGGGGGGGAACGGCGGGGGGGATGTGCCTGCGCGCACGTGGGGCCGGGTGCGTGTTTGCACGCGCGTGCCCGGAGTTGCGGGCGGGTGCACGACGCCTGTGCACTCGCACCCCCCCCCCGGGTGTGTTCACGGCTGTCAGAGCCCGCCCCCCCCCGGCCCTGCTCCTGCGCTCTCGCCCCCCCTTCACAGCCCAGCTCATTCACCCCCCCCCCCGCACACACATTGAGAGCGGGTGGGGGAGAGGAAAGAGGGGCAGGAGCAAAGCCCCCCACCCACCCCAGGCTGCGGGGGGGTGGGTGTCCTGCAGCACCCTCATGGTCCCACTGCTCTGGGGTCAACCCCCCCCCCAGTGCTCGGGGCCTTCATGGCCAGTGGCGGGGAGTCCCGCAGGCCAACCCCATTGCAGGGCGGGGGGGGGGGGGGGATTTCTTGGAGCGAGATCAGCAGCATCCTCCCTGGCTGCACCTGGGGCCCGGCTCAGACCCAGACTCGCTTGAACAGCAGGGAGGGGGGGGACGATACCCCAGGGAGCCCTGGCCCGGGGGGGGGGGGGGGGGCAGGAGATCCTGATCTAGGGGGCAGTCAAAGACAGGCAAGGGGCTGGAAACATGGCCCCACCTGTGCCTGGGAACACGGCAGAGGCCGGGTCAGTCACAGGCGAGGGCGGCTCAGGCCCCCTTGGAGTATAACACCCGGGGGGGGCGGGTTGGGGGGGGAAACGCTCCTGGGAGGCAGGGACCCTGGACAAAGCCTGACGGGGGGATCCCGAGCCGGGCTAGAGCCTATTTGGACCTGGACCCAGTTCTGGGGGCAACAATTCGAGGCTGCTCTTTGAGGGCAAAGTGTGGGGCCGGGGGGGGTAGGGGGGGCCTGCCCAGCCGCAGGGCTGACCCCCGGGGACTAGGGCCCGCTGCTCTGGCCATTCCCATCCCAGCCCCCCCTTCAATGACAGCACCTCACGGCAGAACCATTAAAACCCCTTTATTGTGGTTAAACAAAAGCAGATGCAGCCACGCGGGGCTTTATACAGACGTGTGGAATTTTGGGGGGGAGGAGGGGGTCACGCTACAGAAACTGGGGGGACAAAAACTTACCCACCTAAAAAAAAAAAAAAGGGAAGTGGCCAGAGCGGCCTGGGGGCTGGCCCCCCGCCTGGGGGGCAGGGGAGCTCCCTCACTCCAGGGGCGGCTCCAGCAGGTACCCGTTCTCCGTGGACATGTAGCCGTCTCCGGACTGCATGGACTCCTGGTCCAGGAACATGTCCTGGCTGGTCTCCTCCAGCGGCTCGGCCATGCCGTTGTCCTGGCCGGCCCGTTCGTCCCGCTTCTCGGCCCCGCGCTCGCCCCGCTCGCCCCGCTCCCGCTTGTGCTCCCGGTCCCGGTCCCGCTCCCGCCGGCGCTCCCTGTCCCTCTCCCTGTCCCTGTCCTTGTCGCGGTCCCGGTGGCTGCGCCGGCGATCCCGCTCCCGCTCCTTGTCCCGCTCCCGCTCCCGCTCCCTGCCCTTGTCCTCGCCCTCCAGCTTCAGCTCCAGCCTGTCCGTGCCCAGCTCGCCCAGCGCCACCTCCTCGGCCTGGGCGTCCCCCCCCTCGGGCAGCTCCTCCTTCTTGTCGCGCTCCCGGTCCCGGTCCCGCTTGCGCTCCCGGCTGCGGCTATGCCGCTTCCGCTCCCGCTCCTTGTCCTTGTCCTTGCTGCGCTCCCGGCTCCGCTTCCGCTCCTCCTTCTCCCGGCTGCGGGTGCGGCGCCGACGCTCCCTGGACCGGCTGCGCCGGCGTTCCCGCTCCTTGTCCCGCTCCCGGCTCCGGTCCCGCCGGTCCCGCTCCCGCTCCCGGTCCCTGCGGGGAGAGGGGGCCCTGAGCGTCACACGGCCGGCCCAGCGCACCCGGCCCCCGGGCCGTCCAGGCACCCCACCTCCGCAGGGCCAGGGCTGGCCCCTCCGGCCAGCGGACGTACCCACAGCCCTCCCACAATGCACTGGGCCACACACTCCCATAGCCAGCAGGGGGCACTGCAGAGACCCACAGCCCTCCACACTCCCATAACGCACTGGGCCACCCCCGCCCCTTCCCCCACCTCCCTATAGCCAGCAGGCGAGTGCTGCAAACTCTCCTCTCCTCCTCCTCGGCAGGGGGTCTGGCTGAGGTCCCCCGGGGCACAGGCTGCCCCCCACTCACCGCTCGTCATATCTGGAGGTGTCGTCTCGGCCGGAGTGCCTGATGTTGACGTCTGCCCCGCCCCTCCGGGTGCCCCCCAGGCCACCACCTACAAAGAAAGCGAAGTTCTTCAACCAACTCAACACCCGCCCTGGCTTCCCACCACTGGGGGGGACCTGTAGGCCTCAAACCAGTACGCTGACACCCCCATATGCAGCACTGCCCCGTACTTATGCTCGGTTGTGTACACCATCTGCCTTGTGAGGTTTCAAAGTCTCACTCTGCTGAACATTAAGATCCCGCTGGAGTGTAGGGGCTGTCGCTGGATGGGAAGTTACAAAGTTGGCTTGGTGTGTGTTACTGAAATAGGTGGTGAGGTTGGGAACACCCACAACCAGCCATTCAGGTACGACAGCGTGGATGGCCCGTGAAGGGGAATCCGCACTACTAAGGACTGTCACAGGATCCGTGTCCAGTGAAGACAAAAAGGAGGCTGCTTGACTCATGTCATAGCAAAACATCTTTCCAGAAAGCTGGAGGAACCTATAACAGAGGGGAAGTGACATCATCGTTTGTCCTCACTCCCCGGGCTGGATTTATGCAGGGGCTTCAGGGGCTGCAGCCCAGGGCCTCGGAGGGCCCCGCGGGTCCGCTGCTTCTTTTCATCCAGTCTGGCAAGTCCCCGCACCGCAGGCCGGACACTAGTCCCCGAGCCTCGGTGCCCCCCTTGGGCCTGGAGCTGTCAGCACCAGCTCGCTGATGTGCCCCTAGATGAGGGCATTCAGGGAATCTCTGCAGGCTGCCCCCACCCCCAGCGCCGGCTCTGCAGCTCCCCCTGGCCAGACATGGGCCGGACATGCCAGCCACCTTGGGGAGCAGAGCAGCACAGAGCCAGGGCAGGAAGGGATCCTGCCTTAGCCCTGCTGCGCCGCCAACCAGAAGCCTGCACCCCAATCCCCTGCCCCAGTTCTGAGCCCACTCCAAACCCCCAGGGGCCCCACAAAATCTAATAGCCCTGGGCCCACAGGAGGCCAACAGGAGAGCTAATCTGGTCCTGCTCACACCTCAACACCTGGAAGAACATCTGGACAACAAAGACTTTGAAGGGAGGAGGTGGTCCCAGGCTGGAAAGGAGAATCCAGCTCTCCTATTAAGGAAATCTACCATCAGGGTGAGATACTGCTCCAGTCAAATCCTGTCTAGTTTATGGAACTCAGATTGGGGGGAGAAGGGGAGGGTGTGCGGCACAGGGCACCACTGCTGCTCCCAGACCACTGCTCCGGGGCAGCGCCCAGGACCAGTTCTCTGGGGCCGCATCAGCTGCTGCAGAAGTCACAGAGGTCCCAGAATCCATGACTTCCGTGAAAGACCTGCAGCCTTACTTATAATCACTTAAAATCTCTTTCTGTAGTTAATAAATCGGTTTTATATTTTACGGAGAACGGTGCGCTGGGCTCGAAGTGCACATGCGAATCCGCTCAGTGTTTAAAAGCTGGAGCACGTCCTCTCCACCCTGGGGAACGGGTGGACTGGGTAAGACACTTACACTGGTCAGACTTCCGACCAGGGCAAGGCTCTGGGGTCCTAGGCTGGAGAGCTGGGGGGAATGGGCTGGAAGGAGCATCCCTGTAACTCAGCTGGGTGTGTCCCTGCCGGCGGGTGGCTGTGTGAATGCAGGACCTGGAGGGGTTTGCAGCTTGTCACAGCAGCACAGTGGGAGAGGGATCCCAGGCTGGAAAGACAGAGGGCTCAGCGGTACCCCAGTTCCAGGCTGCACCCTGAGGAACCTGTCACAGGCTGGACGGGGAGCTCCTGGTAGGGGGCGCTGAGGGACGTGCCAGATTCCCTCCAGGTTATGCCAGGGCGTCGCAGGCCTGACGTGGAGTCGCTCTCCCCTCTCTGCGTTCTGGCGGGGCGGGCGCAGGAAGTGAGGTGCAGGGCGGGGGTGGGGTGGGGGGGGAGGGTCCTTACTCACCCAGCCTGCGGGGGCGCCAACCCTTGACTGTCCGGCCTCTCTCCACGTCCACCAGCACCCTCCTGCCGTCAATTTTCTTGCCATCTGCGTGCTTGTATGCCGCTGTAACAGATTGGGGTGTCCAGAAAGGCAGGGGAGGGGGGCGCGCCGCTGTTAGATACGGAGCTCACACACAAGCCCGCCCGCCCCCCACCGGACACACACAACTCCCCCCACCTGCCCCACGGCTCCCCAGAGCCGGCCGAGGGGCTGCCCCGCCCTGCCGTGGGGTAGCTTGCCCCGAGGTTCCCGCCCCCTCCATGCTGCCTAGACTTCAGCAGCTGGGTCCACACCAGAGCACAGGACGTCCCGACCCCACTGAGGCCGGAGACCCGCAAGCCACGGCTGCTGGGTTGAATGGAGCAGCCCCTCGCCCCCCCAGAGCTGCAAGGAAAGGAACGTTACCGACAAGTCAAATACCTGCGTTTGCCCGATGCCACGCTTGCTGCGTGAGACCCGGGCAGCCCCGTGGAGGGTAAACCCCTATGAGATGGGGGTACACCGCCCACCGCTGCTGTCCCCTCCCCCCGCCCCAGCCAGCCAGCTAACCCCGAATCCGCCATGCATCCCCCCCAAAGCAGGAGGTATTACACCTACAGGAAGGAGGGAGAGGAATCTGTGTACAACCAGGGGTGGGACGCGCAAAGGTTTACAGTCTGGCACCCGGCTGGCACGCCCCCCGCCGCCCCCCCGCCAGTCACGCCCCTGCCGCCCCCCCCACCTGTCGTCACCAGAGGAACAGAGTACAGATCCCTACGTGGCGGCTACAGATAGCACCGAGGCAACGGGGGGGGAGGAGGGGGCGCTAGACGGGCACCGCTCACGAGAAGGA